CCCTGTGAAACACACCAAAAAAAAAAAAAAAAAAAAAAAAAAAAAAAGTCTCCGCCCCCGGGACCACAACTCCCAGACGACTGTGCGGCGTGTGGCGCGCGGCCCGCTGGAAAAGGTAGTTCCTCCGAATGTCCGCCATCCGCGGAGCGACCGCCCACACGCCCTCCGAATGCCAGGGAGAGGATGGACTTGAGGGGAGGAGTATACTGCAATATGGTCTTTAATTCAACCCATCTCAGCCGCTTGCCCTGGTGATGCATTGATCGTTGGCTAGTCCACCCCGGTCGCCTTCACTTCGTAGAAGTGCTGTGGCGTCGGGACCTCTCAGCCAACCCCACTTACATCGTTACCAAGCCAACTTTGGGTCGTTCTTGACTCTACGCAGATGCAGCGCACACTGGGAGGTATCGGTCCCGGATTCTGAGAGGGCTTCTTGGGCAAGAATTCAGGCGCTGAAGTCAACCTAACAGGGTGTAAATCCCAGGTTCTGTTCTTTGCTCTAAGAGTCATCTCCCAACCTGAAGCGCGGGATCATCCGGTTCACATTGTACACTGAGAATAGGGCAGGGCTCAGGTACTGGGAAACATCATAACCATGCCCAGGCAAGGAAAAGAGGTACTCTTCTCCTCTTCTGTGTTGCTGATGGTTGCAGGTGTGCCGGTACCAAAAGACAGTTACTGTACCCACAGTAGCCACAAGGCCAGGGTGCAAATGGAATGTGCAAATGGCCTGGGATGGCCATTTAATCAGTTGTGACATCTTCACCATAAGGAAAAAGTATTGAATTCCTCGTAGGTAACAAAGCTTTTTCAGAAGCGCAGCTCTCCAGCTCCCATACCAACTCTAATTCTGCCCTGTCCTGGCATCTTGGCCCTTGCTCTAACCCTGTGTTTGAGCACTGAGTTGATGCTTGCAGGACCCTACAACAGCACAAGCAGTAAAGCCCCATGGCCTTCAACCATGCTGAAGGGACTATCCACAAAACTAGTCGTCCCAGTGATGAGCAACAGCAGCCTGTAGGTGGCAGGAGCAACCCACAAATCTGCTCAGACAATGGCTCCTTCCAGAGGAAAATCCAGTAGATCGCCAGCAGGGGAGCTATGGTAACAAAAAAAAAAAAAAAAAAAAAAAAAAAAAAAAAAAAAAAAAAACAGATCAAAGATGTGTTCATTACTGAGGGGTCCTCACTTGTGGGGTTGGCACTGACCCCACAACCCAGCCCTAGAAATCCTCATTCCCTGAGCTGGGGATAAGTTCAGTTGGTAGTGTTTGCTTATCATAAAGAAGCCACAGTACTGCATAAAACCAGGCATCACAGGTACCTGCCAGTACTCCCAGCACTTGGGAGGCAGAGGCAGGAAGATCAGAAGTTCAAAGTCATCCTCAGATATATATCCAGTTTGAGGGTAACCTGGGCTGTAAGAGCCCTTGTCCCAAAAACAAACAAAAAGCCCGGATCCCAGACTACAGGAGCTCCAAATCCAACCTTCTGGCCCTTGCTCGGAGAAGTCACCCCCCACATCACAACCTCGCAGTGCCCCCACACACACATACCTTTCTGATTTTGGGAGTTTTGTCTTCAGTGAAACTTCCCCACCAAACACCATCTGGACATCACCAGGTGTTCATTCCAACATGGTGTTGTCCTCCACCCTAACCCTTGGAAGATGACGGGGGGGGGGGGGGGGACACACCTGCCTTCTTCTGGGAGATAGCCTTGCTTACCTTCCTGTCCTATCTACCCCTGGGGGCTTTCGAAAGTTTCCAGAACACCTAGATGAGGCTCCTTCACAGTTCACCATTTGGCTTTTGCACCCAACCTTCCTGGGGTACACCCAATTTTCCTTAATAGCCTGTCCCTTCCTGCAGTGGATCACCAACCTCAGGAGCCCTCAGTGAGCAACACAGCCCTATCCTAGGGTCCCTGGGGTGGAGATATCCCAGGTTTAAGGCCTGAAAAGGCAGACAATACCCTAATGGGGTGGGATTATGGGACATCCCCAGGGTCTGCCCCACCAGGCCAACTGCACCTTTGGCCCAAAGCCTGCCCTTCCCCCTTCCTCAGTTCAGGAAATCGCGGAAGCTCAGGCCATTTATTTTTCTATTTGTGATCCCTGCCCCCCATCCCAGTCTGCCCAGAGCTGGCCCTGACCCCAGTGGTGGCCTGAATGCTTCCCCTCTGGCCAAGGCAGGGCAGTGGTGGGTGGGAAGACTCACACTGCCAAGCTCACACGGAGCCCCTTGTTTCCCCATCATCACAGACTAGGAGGCATCCTAAGCCTCAGGAGGTCCTACTCCTGCCACCATATGGTAGTCCCTCCCCTGCATAAAGTTCTCATGCCCTCTAGCCCATTTGGGGGATTACAGGTCTCCACCGTAGAGCTCTGTGGATCTATAACCATAGCCAGTCCCACCTTAGGCCCTCCTTGGACACTAGCTTCTGTGATCAGACAGGGCAGTGACCAGCGGCAGATAACAGTCTCTGGTCATTTGCGGGAGGAAGTGGAGGCTGGGCACATGGATGTTGACTTTGTCTGTGTAGATGCCAGCTCTCTGAGCCTCAGTCTCCTAGTCTACAGAATGGGAAGAGCCATGGGCTCGTGGAAATGTCTGTTTGGAAAGTCCCCCGCCAGCCCACAGCCTGGCCAGGGTCCAGCTTTGTCCCCTCACCCCCACCCCACCACCGCCAGAGGCAGGGCTAGGGAGGCAGGAGGCATCCCCCAGAGGCCAGTGAGGCCCTAGTTGCAGGCTTGCTCTAACAATGTGAATGTGCTTCCCCCACACAATTCCCAGAAATGCTGCCCCCCTGCCCTGCCAGCCCGCCAGCTTGGCGGCCACTCCACCCTCCTACCCTAAGGAGACCCAGGCAGCCACAGGGTCAGAGGCAATGTGTAAAGCATGGAGGTCTGACTCAGAGGCAGCAAACCTGTGGAATTCTAAGGCAGCCTGCCTTCCTGCCCTGCCATGCTGCATAGACCAACCTGGACAAAGTCAACCACAGCTTAACCCCTGCAGGAGCAAAGACACCAAAAACCCTTCCCAAGTCTCATTCAGAGGAAAAAGCAAGATCCTTCCAGGCTCCACTGAGCTTCTTGATCCTCATCCCTCATGCTTCACCCCAGCCCTTCCATACACCTGCTCCCTTTTCCCCCATGACTTTAAAGAACTCCCCGTCTGTGTAGCATGCTTCTTGTATGGTTTCTTCATATGTTTCTTTCAGGTGTGGGCTCAAAAAAACAGGGTATAGATACTGACATAGCCCCTTCACATACCTAGTATTCCCAATACAGGCTTATTTGTGGATTTATTTTTTAGCCTTTCCATACCAGAATGGAAATATCTCACAGCAAGGATTGGAGCTGTTTATTCTTTCCCAGTTTCCTACCTCAGAAGACAGTCTGGTGCCAGCACGGGGCTTTGTACCCCCCCCCAAAAAAAGAAAAATATGTCTCTGAGCAAAGGAGAGTAGAAGTCCCTAAACAGCCAGCTGGTTAACCACCAAGCCATTTGTCACCAGCCAGGGGAAAAAAAAAAAAAAGAAATGGGGGAGGAGGGCATACAAAGCTGGGTGTGATTACTACATGTTCAATCCCAAAACTCAGAAAGCAGAAGCCAGCCTGAGCTACACAGAGAGTTCCAGGGTCACCTTAATTAGCAACATGTTTGCTTGTTTGTTTGTTTTTGAGAGAGGGTCTCTCTCTCTCTACATAGCCCTGGCTGTCCTGGAACTCATTGCACCTGCCTCTGCATTTCAAGTGCTGGAATTTAAGGCATGCACCACCATGCCTGGCCCAGTTAGCAACATTTTTAAAAAGGGGGGAAAATGACTAGAAAAGAAGGAGAAGAATGGAGAGGGAGGAAGAGGAGATGAATATGTTCATTCTCTGCCCTGGTCTCCGTTTATCTCCATCTCCCAGTGTGTCAAGGCAAGGAGGGGCCAGCTCAACATGGCGGGGCAGTCAGAATGGGTACTACCTCCCAGAAGCCTAAGAGACCCAAGTATGCCTACAATTAGTCCACCTTATAGGCAAAGGACCACCAAGGGAACCGAAGCACTCATAAGAACAGAGACCCAGGCCATGCACCGAGCTGAGAATAAAAGTAACTATGTGAAGACCCGCAGTTCTGAGGTGTGGGGGCGGGGCGGGGGTGAGGCCAACGGAATGGGCGAGAACACCGGCCAGCAGGGGTTGGGGAAACTGGACAGAATGTCTGGCGCCTCCTCAGCCCAGTGAGTTCTCTCTGGCCTGAAGGCCAGCCTTCCTTCCTGAGCGGCTGTTTCCTGGCTCCGCCCTGTTGTCGCCACGGAAACCCATGAGTAGCCCAGCTCCCAGCCAGGTTCCCATGGAGTCCCTGCAGAGCAGGAGCCGCAGCGTTGCTGCAGAGGCCCATACAAAGTAGGCAGCTACATTGGAGGACATAAATTGGCCATGCAGCCGTCCTGGAGCAGAACACTCCAAAATGTTGCATAGCAGCCCAGCCTTCTCTCATACACCTCACCCTACAGCATACCCTGCTCTCATCCAGTGACCCTAAAAGCAGACAATGCCTGTGATAACACCCTGAGCACTCACATGCCCACCACAGTATAATAACTCTGAAACTCTGGAACATCCTTCAAAACTTGTCTGATCCCTGGCCCACCCACAGAAGCCACTCGGTTGCATGTGGCTTACTCTCGAATGTCCACAGCACTCTGGTCTGCCATTATCCAAAGTGATCCTGCAGTAATAAGTTGCATTTGCTTCTCCCACCCCTGCTATTTCCACCCAGTCTTGCTGGCCAAAGGGCACAGAGTGGATGAGAGTCAAGCTATCTCTACATAACACCATAAACATCAATCTTTTTTGTCCGTTTGCTTGCTTGCTTGTTTTTTGAGACAAGGTTTCTCTGTGTGGCCTTGGCTGTCCTGTAGACCAGACTGCCCTCAAACTCATAAAGATCCACCTGCCTCTGCCTCCTGAGTGTTAGGATTAAAGACACGTGCCAACACTGCCTGGTGAGCATCATTCTTTACCTAAAACAGCTAACACCGGTGCCATACATGCTACCTCTCCACTAGCCCAACACTCCCACTCCCACCATGCTCTGAGTGGGACTCTGGCTCCATATGATTACGAACTGAACCTGTGAACTTTACCAAGAACCCAGCATTTAAAAGTACTTTTACCCACTCATACACATATTCGTAATGCATAAAAACCAAGCCAGCCCCTGTCTCCTAAATATGTCCTTTCCCAAGAGAAAGGTACCAGAAACCTAACATGACACATCCCAGGGCTGAGAACACAGAGCTGAAGAATCTAATAGGCTAGCGCCTAGCTCATCCAAACCAAACCTATCCCTGCCTGAGAGTCACATGTGCCTGATGTTCTACAGCATCAGACTCTGCCAAAGGCTCTGACCCCAGGAGAGAAGTAACGGTTGACCCTAGTTTCATATTCCCCAGCTCCAACCACCAGAGACTGGGAGGCCAGCAAGGTTTGGAGCTAAGAGTGGAATGTCAGAAGAAGGGTCTGAACTGGAAGGCTAGCTGCTGAAAAGAATCATCCACCTGGAGCTCTGTTGCCCTCAGACAGGGACCCCACCCCACCCTGTGGGAGTGGGAGGGTCCAAGCCCTACAGGACTATGTAATTGGTCCCAGCCTCACTGCTGTACAGCAGCCAGAGCTGTCTGGTGGGAGCCTGGGAGGTCTGTGCCCAGGCAGTGCTTGGGAGGTCTCACCACCCCCAGGCGGAGCAGAGCCAAGCCAATCCCCCACCATAGGCACCAAGGGGAACTACCCAGCATCCTTGTCAGGCCTCATGAAAGCCTGGGGTCCAGGGAGGCTGAGGAAGGAGAGTAGGTAGTGTAGGCAGGAAGGAAAGAGGGGACAGGGTCCACTTGACACCCAAGCCAGTCCCATACTGGCAGAAAAGATTTGCCCTACCATTCCAACTTTCTGGGGCTATAGACAAGCTCCTGCCATGGATAAGTGCCCATCTAAGCCAAGCTAGACTGAAGTGGAGTTCTGACAGCAGATTTTCCCTTCTCTCTTTGTCCAGATCTAGGGCTGCAGCTCATCTAACAAAGAAGCCTTGTGTGTCCCTTCCTTGGGTGCTGAGAACATTCTTCGTGAGTAGGACTTTCAGTCCCCAACACCTGAGTTCCTATTCCCTTATAGGAAAGTCCATCATGTCTGACTCCCAATAAATTCAGCAGTCTCTAGCATTTGGGTTTACCTCACCCCACACCCTGGGAACCTGACAGACACACATGTAGACCACACACAGACACACAGACATTCACATGGAATGTTCCTCTCCTAGCATAGCTGGCCACACCCACAGCAGCCATGTACAGCCTTGGGGAGTCCCTCCAGCCCTGGGGCTCCAGGGTCAGGGCCACCCTGATGGTAGACTGAAGTCACCTCCCCCATTGTCCCATCTGGAGAGAGGGTAGGAGCTGCCAGCATCACCACTGCCAAGCAGTGGGCAGGGAGGATAGCCTGACCCTACAGAGAAAAGAGAGCACCCTGCAGGCTCCTGCCCAGCCCAGCTCACAGGTTATGACAGGCTGACATCTGAGCCACAACTTGGCCATGAGGAGGGTCATTGGCTGGTTCCAGGAGAGGTGGGTGCTAGAGAGCTATGGAAGAACAAAGAGGTTATGCTGGGTACTCCAGAACTCCAAGCCCAATATGTGAGGCTGCAGCAGAAAATAAAAATTTTCTGGAGCCCCAGTAAACACCATCTCAAAATAGCTACTGTTCTGGCTGAATCAGGTCTGGGGACCCTAGCCTGTATCCATAGCTATGGAGTGGACTAAGGATAAATTCTGACAAAAACTGATGGAAGTGAGAGAGTATCAGGGTAGCTCTTCTCCTTTGTTTTGTTTGTGTGTGGTACTGAAGATGGAACCTAGGAGCTTTTGCATGCTGGGCAAGTACTCTACCACTGACCCATGCTCCAGCCTCCAACTCTAGTTTTTTGTGCCCATTCTCAAAATGAAAATCTTCACATAGCTCTTCATGCTCACTCATCATCCTCCGTACCTCCTGTTCAGTCTACCCACCCACCTAGACCTGCCAAAAGGGAGCTAACCACTGACAAGGTCCTGTAAACATTTTTACCTTGGTGTCCACACCACTGCCTGCCTTCTGAGAAAGTACTGAGTTGCCCCAGTAGTTCCACCCTACTCAAAGTTCAGCCCTGAGCACTGACATCTCCCCATGGCAAGAGTGCTCAGAAAGAAAAGTACTACTAGGGAACAGCACAGGGTGCTATAGGACTCACATGAACAAGCCCCAGACTCTTTCAGTGCTCAAGGTGGGATATCCTGACATGATAGGAAAGGCTGCAGAGTATCCAGGGTACATGTAGATGGATTTCATCACCTGTCATGGACAGCTGTCAAGAACATTGGAGTTTCCTCTATAAAGTTACACGTGGCAATGGACAAGGGATAGCTCTCAGAAGAAAACCATCAGTTTCTGGAGGCCAGATCCCTTCCTGGTGGAGTGGTTGGACAAATGGAAAAAGAAAATGAATGAGGACTCTTGGAAAACACCCAGTTTTCCTCTGTCTCACCTGCTCAGGTTCCTGTCTCTTCCTGGGACAGCTGTCTGGCTTGAGCAAAGACACCAGCTACAGCAGCCCACACACAGGAGTGGGGACTGGCTGTGCCCTGTGCCTACCAGTCTACCTTTCCCTTGTGGACAGGTTCAGGTTTTGCCTTGTTCCAGAGTTTGGGTGTGGGAGAGGGGAAACAAAGGTTCACTTTTTCCCCATCCTCAAGGGCAAAACTTGGGAGAGGCATTGGAGCTACCCAACTGAGCTCAGCATCTGGTAGGGTCAACCAACAGGAAGAGACAAGAACATCTCCAAAATTCCCTCCCCTTTCCCGAGGTGCACGATGAAGTGACCTCCCAAGAACTTGGTGCTAAAATAAATCTTCCTTCATCCAATCTAATGCCGCTGCCCCCTTCCCTCATTACTGCCCGGGGGTCTGTCTCTGTGGGTGGGGTGGCAGCTACACTCTGAAAGCTGACAACCCTGGAGAAACTCTCCTTTTGAGCTTCAGCCCACACTAGCAGCCCTCTCCTATTCGGGGGTCTTTTTTTCAGAGACAGTGCGGGGGTAGGGGTGGGGGGCTTTGCGCTGGGGAGGCCACAGCTGGATCCTGCAGGGAAGAAAAAAGGGAGCCACCGCAGAGAGGGCAGCCCCGCCCCGGCCCGCCCGCTCTGCTGCGGATTGGTCCCATGTCTCTATATCTGGGATGCCTTCCTGGCACCAAGCTACTACGTCCCCACTGTCTCCACTCGACGTCCGTCAGCCCTCCGAACTTGACTCGCAGTGCCCGCCACTGTCTTCTGCGCTCCCGCGCTGCGTTCTGCCCAGGCCTTGCCCAGCTGGAATGCAGAGATCGCCGCCCGGCTACGGCGCACAGGACGACCCGCCCTCCCGCCGCGACTGTGCATGGGCTCCCGGACTCGGGGCCGCTGCTGAGCCGCGCGGCCTCCCTGTCACCAACGTCTCGCCTGCGGAGCCCTCCTCGCCGTCCAGCCTTCCGCGGAGCCCACCGCGCAGCCCCGAGTCAGGGCGCTATGGCTTAGGCCGCGGAGAGCGCCAAACGGCCGACGAGTTGCGCATCCGGCGGCCAATGAATGCTTTCATGGTGTGGGCGAAGGACGAGCGCAAGCGACTGGCGCAGCAAAATCCGGATCTGCACAACGCAGTGCTGAGCAAGATGCTGGGTGAGAGCCGAGAGCGCAGAGAGGGGCGGCTAGGGAGGGGACTTGGGAGGGGGTCGGGATCTGGGGCTCCAGGGCCTGGGGCAGGGTTCTATGCAATATTCGCGCCATGCGCCCAGGGCGCACGCAGGGTTTGTTGGTTGTGCGCCCGCCCGACGGCAGTCCACTAACAGGCTCCCGCTGCCCACAGGCAAAGCGTGGAAGGAGCTGAACACAGCGGAGAAGCGGCCCTTCGTGGAAGAGGCCGAACGGCTGCGTGTACAGCACTTGCGTGACCATCCCAACTACAAGTACCGGCCTCGCCGCAAAAAACAGGCGCGCAAGGCCCGGAGGCTGGAGCCCGGCCTCTTGCTCCCGGGCCTCGTGCAGCCGTCTGCGCCACCTGAGCCCTTCCCTGCAGCTCCAGGCTCGGCCCGCTCCTTCCGCGAGCTGCCCACACTGGGCGCGGAGTTCGATGGCTTGGGGTTACCCACGCCCGAGCGCTCGCCTCTGGACGGCCTGGAGCCTGGCGAGGCCTCCTTCTTCCCACCACCTTTGGCGCCCGAGGACTGCGCTGTGCGGGCTTTCCGGGCGCCCTATGCCCCCGAGCTAGCACGGGACCCTAGCTTCTGCTACGGGGCGCCCCTGGCCGAGGCGCTCAGGACCGCGCCGCCTGCCGCGCCGCTCGCGGGCCTCTACTACGGCACCCTGGGCACGCCAGGACCGTATCCCAGTCCTCTGTCACCACCACCTGAGGCCGCGCCTCTTGAGGGAACAGAGCAACTGGAGCCTACCGCCGACCTTTGGGCTGATGTGGACCTCACCGAATTCGACCAGTATCTCAACTGCAGCCGGACTCGACCAGATGCCACTGCACTTCCCTATCACGTGGCGTTGGCCAAACTGGGTCCGCGCGCCATGTCCTGTCCAGAGGAAAGTAGCCTCATTTCTGCGCTGTCTGACGCCAGCAGCGCAGTCTATTACAGCGCCTGTATCTCAGGTTAGGCACTGCCCTTGCCCTCCAGCGCTTCAGCATGTGGCCAAACGGCAGGGTCCTGCCTGCTCCCTTCCTTTCGCAGATGTATGTTAGGTATGCAACAGCCTTTAGAGCTAGTGACCTAAGGGTGCCACTTTTGTCATTCACATACCTCCTTCTGGGGGCTCCTGTGTGTTGGGCCCAGGCCCTGGGTGTGCTAGCTCTGTCAGGGTTAAGATTTGACCATCTAATTCTTTTCTGCCATGTATTTTCTAGAATGAGACTGTATTTTTTACTTTGCCTTTATATATACACATATATAATACACTATATTTAATTTTTAATTAAACTTTTTTCTTTCAAAGGATTTCAGTGACCACTAGCATCCATGCATAAGGAACAACAGTGTTTCCCATAAATACTGACCACAGAGATTACTTGGCTTTTCGGTTAGCCACACAGCTGCCCTCTATCCTTCCATTTGGGCTCTCAGATATCATCAGCCTCCAGCCTGCATTGCATTTTTCTTCTACAAGCCTAAGCACTGCCGAGGACAGCATTCTTCACTTGGGCAGAACTGCAGGGTTGTGCAGATACATTACCAGATCTCAGAAAATATTCCCTAAGAGGGGAAGCACCATGTTATACACTTTCTCTGTTCCCCAAGGGGATCTGGCTCAGATATAGGTTTAGTGATCAAGGCAGTGCTCAAACCTTATACCTTAAGCCTGCCAGTTTGAGTTTCATCACACTAACCATGTTTGGGCTCCTTTCAGGAGGACTGAGGGCCTCTTTCCAGACCATCCCCTTTTCAAAGTCCCTTTCTGGACAAGCATATGCATCCACGGAGGAATGGAACAATCACCCTGGAGGTGGCCCCTACACACACACACATACACTTTGTATCTAGTAAGGCTTCTTAGTCAGGAGCTCCTACGCTTGGAGGAGAGGCTGTCCTATACTGCATTCCCATATGCACGGCAATGTCGGCTTATTCACCCACATGGAGTATGAAATGCCTAGCATGACTATGAAGCTGTAACCATATGGCTTTCCATGACAGTGGCCATTTGTGACTTACCAGCAACAAGCCTGGGGCTAGATGTTCATGTGGGTCCATGCGCAGGGACCCAACTTCCCAGCATGTTTAGGGAGGAGTACACAAGATGTGTGATTTCTTAGGAGTATACTGCCTCATCTCTACATTGACCAGTATGAATTACATACCTCAAATACTGGTGTGAGGGGAGCTGCACTTGGGGTCTTATCCTCTATAAGTAGCATGCAGTGACAGAGGACAGAGATACATAAAGGGACAAAATCAGACAAGCTCCAAGCAGAGATAGAAGATGGGCCTGACCAGTCCTGCTTCCTGAATCCATGGGAGCAGTCCCCAAGTGTTTATCTACTTGGACTGGGGCATTTCCCCACTAACCTATGAACATACCAAGAAGTACAGGACAGACAGTCCAGATCAGGCAGACCAATACAACATTCCTAGGTCCAGGGCACTTCCCCAGTTCTCGGTCCTATACTTTTATTCCTGCAGCGAACCCTCTTCCCTTGATTAGCAGGGTGAAGGTCCAAAGGGTGCTGGTGTGGTCCCACTGTCTCTCTGGAGAAAAGATAGAGCAGGGTGCTCCCTAAAATCCCCTTTCCCATCTGTCAGGGAAGGAGGCTAGTAAGGGTTCGATTTGGAGCAAGTTCAAATTTACAAGTTCCAAAGGGCAGAAAATACCCCAGAGCAAGATCAGAAAGGGACATGAGTAGGACCATACCACCAAAGACAGCCGTGCATCGGTGCTGGGATGTGTGTTGGGGGGTGGTCCTATCATCCTAACTGAGAAGACTTCTCACCCCCAAGGATGAACCCCCACCCTCCCAGGTAGAACCACAGACTAAGGCCATACTCCTAACTCCTCATCCTATCTCCCTTTTGCCCAAAAGGTCTGCGCTTCTACCACCCACCCTTTTCAGGGCTTGAACAATCTGTCCCTGGAGTAGCTTGGGCAACATGTGAAGTGGGTCTGAGAACAGGTAAGGGTCTCCCCAGCACAGACAATCATCACTTTGAATATTCTTGAGGAAAAAACAGTCACACAGCACACAAAGACTACTGCCCCAATAAGGTCAAGATGGGGCAGGCAGAGGGGTGGGCATGCCTACTTGAGGTCTAATCCCAGCACTCAGGAGGCAAAGGCAGGCAGATCTCTGTGAATTTGAGGCCAGTCTGGCCTACAGAGCACTTTCTAGTATAGCCAAGGCTACACAGAGAAACCCTGTCTCAAAAACCAAACAAACGCTCATACATGTAAAATAAAATTAAATATTTTTGAGTGTTTTGCCTACATGTATGTTTGTATGCCACATGTATGCAGTGCCTGTGAATGCCAGAAGAGGGTATCAGACCCAATGAAACTGTACTTAAAGATAGTGCCAACATGTGGGCACTGGGAACTGTACCGAGTCCTCTGCAAGAACAAGAGCTCTTGCTTGGTGGTGGTGACACATGCCTTTTATCCCAGCACTCGGGAGTCAGAGGCAGGTGGATCTCTGTGAGTTCGAGGGTAGCCTGGTCTACAAAAAGCATTCCAAGACAACCAGGGTTGTTACACAAAGAAACCCTGTCTCAAAAGCAAACAAAAAACAGAACAAAAAAAAAAAAAAAAAAAAAAATCATCTCTTCAACCCCCTATTCTTTTCCAAGATTACATTTTATTTATTTTGTGTTCAAGTGTAAGTGTGTGAGCATGCACATGCCATGGTATATGTGTGGAGGCCAGAGGACAACCAACACAAGTCAGTTCAGTTCTTTCCTTCCACCATGTGGATACTAGGGCTAAAACTCAAGTCCATCAGATATGTCATACACATTAGTCCCCCTTATCTAATTCTTTAAAATTATTTATTTTTATGTGTATGGGTGTTTTGCTTACATGTATGTGCACCATATGCATGCTTGGTACCCTTGGAGACTAGAAGAGGGTGTTGGATCCCCTGGGACTAGTTACAGATAGTTGTAAGCTGCTATGTGGGTGTTAGGAATAGTTCTTCCTTTAAAGATTTATCTGTGTGTGTTGTGTGTGCGTGAGTGCATGTACGTGTGGGCAGGTATCCATGGAAGTCAGAGGCATCAAATCCCCTTGGAGCTAAAGTTACAGGCAGTTGTAAGCTATCAAAAATGCATGGGTGCTGGGAACTGAACTCAGGTCCTCCACAAGAGCAATATACTCTCTTAATCATTGATCCATCTCTCCAGCACAGGAATAATTCCTTAAAAGAATTTTCCCTATTGTTAAGGCAGTGGATATGCAGCAAGTGAAGGCCAGACACAATGAGAAAAATGTATAAGACATATAAAAATAAACTCTAATCACAGGTTTCTAGTGTTTTGTTTGTTTGGGACTTTTGTTTGTTTAGTTTGGGTTTTTGTTTTATTTTTTCCAAGACAGGGTTTCTCTATGTAGCTTTGGAGCCTGTCCTGGGAACTCACTTGAATTGTAGTGAGCATCCTACAGACACTGCCCATCTTGATGTCCTGTCCTCCTGTTTAGAGCAATCAGGCTGGGGAGGTAGACAATAGGGTGTCCTGATTCCCACCTTCCTCTCTTCAGCTGAGGAAAGATTAAACAAACCACAGCCTCCTGGGACTGGAGGTGAAGTAGAGGCCTCAAGAGTGTTGGGGTATAAATGTTGATGCCTAAGCCCTGTACCAGACTGTACCATTTAAAAACCACCTGAATGCTGCACCCATGGCTGTCTGCAGAGCCCTGGAATCAGCCTGTGGTTATCAACCCACTAGCATGACTGTCATCCTGCAGGACAAGGACAGGTACAGAGCCCTCAGAAAGGATCAGAGCTGATGGGCAAGTTGAATGCTACTGAGATCCTAGGTCCTTTACATTCAGCCCAGGGACCTAAATGGAGGCTCCCTGGGGCTTCTTTGTAGCTGAGGGCAGGGCATATCCTCCTCATGCACAGCTAACATAGCCCAGCACAGAAACTACTCCAGAGTTGTTGGCTGCTGACCAGCTAGACCTTGGAGAAAAGGAGGCTGAGACATGGGACTGGAGACTATTGGTGTTGCCTATCCCACACAAGCCTTTTCAGGACTTGACTTTCCAGGGAGGTCGGGCTATGGCCCAGAAGGAAGGGCTGTGAGGATTATGAATGGGACCCCCCCTCCCCCCAAGGCACTGGCCGGGCCTGTGCAATTTCCTGTAGCCCAAGAACCAGGCCTCCATATGTCATCCCGGAAGATGGAGACTGGCAGGCTTTGAAGGGAGACTGGGTACCACGGCCTCCCACGACTAGGAGCCTTTGAAAGAACATCTGGAACTTGGGCAACAGCAGGCTGACAAGCTAGTCCTTTGGTTTGCAAATCCCAATTTGCTACTTGTGTGTTAACAACCCTCCCATGATGCAGCAGAGAGTGAGGGCTGTAGCCTCTTCTGTGTTAGGACAGCATTTCTCTATTCTGCCACCTACCATGCTAGCCTAGGTGTGTGGGAGAGCTGAGCAAAGGGAACAGTAAGAATAGGCATGTCTTGGCCGGGCGCTGGTGGTGCACGCCTTTAATCCCAGCACTCAGGAGGCAGAGGCAGGCAGATCTCTGTGAGTTCGAGGCCAGCCTGGTCTCCAGAGAGAGTGCCAGGATAGGCTCCAAAGCTACACGGAGAAACCCTGTCTCGAAAAACCAAAAAAAAAAAAAAAAAAAAAGGCATGTCTTTGTGCCCTGTGAGCACAGAGCCACAGCTAAGCATGCAGAGCTCTGAACTCAGCTACATTCCTAAAGCCGGCTCACTTTGGCAACACATACAGTAAAATTGGAATGATACAGAGAAGATTTGCATAGCCACTGTGCAAGGATGGCATACAGATTCCTGAAGCATTCCATAGTCTTTCTAGTTAACAGCTGTGTATGAGTAGGCCCAGGCCTGGTTCAAGTTCATCATTGTTAGGCCAATCCATTGGTAGATATCACACCAGCACTATGAAATCCTGTAGTAGATGTAAAGGGAGGTTCAGCTAAATAAAACGAACAAATAAAAAATAATGAAGAAACAACTGGGCTCCTAGAAGGCTTGGGCAGCACTATGGATAAGGCTGTGGAGAAGGAATAATCTGCTCCCAGATCTGCAGAGTATCTAGCCTTGTGGGTTTGTGGGCACTAGGCCCTGCAGGTGTGCAAGAAGGCTGCTTGCTTCAGCTGTGGCTAACTGGAATAAACAAGGCCCTCTACTCCAGGAAGCACATATTCCTGGGGCCCGGTGGGGGAAGGGAGGAGAAGAGTGAGGCAGGTGTTGAGGCCCATTGTCCCCACCAGTGGCCTTCAGGACCCTGGGGGTGGGGAAAAAGGGACAGTCCCCATCCTGCCCCTCCTCAGGAAGACTTAGCTTTGTAAACACACATACACACACACACACACACACACACACACACACACACACACACACACACCCTGCTCCAATAGAATCTGGAATAAGCAGCAAAGAGGTAACACCTGCTTTGGGAAGCAAGTCCTTGTTTGGGTGGAAATGGGAAGGTCAGACCCTTGGCAGCAGTGCTGTGCCTGTTCATCCTGGGGTACTACCTCTTGGGTCCCTTGCTGTGTAGATGAGATTTCTGCTGCTGGCTGTGGGGGAGACAACAATCTGATGTACCCTGGGAAGCTTAATGGTGCACTGGCTAGACCTTGTTGATACCAGTCCAGTTGTGACAGTTTGTGGCTCAAGAGAAAGGCAGCCAGGACTCACCAGGTGAGCAGGCTCTGTCCTTGGACTGCCCCTGGCGCCCCCTACCCGGCACAAGGCCAGGGGTCAGGGCTGCAGAACAAGATAAGCCCAGTTTCCTGCACTTACTCCCAGAGCTGTGACTCCCAACACTTCCTGTTTTCTGGAGGGCAGACAGGGGTGTGGGAGACTGGGCAAGGTGGTGGGGGCTGGGGTCATGAGACAGAGGGTAGGGCTACAGGGGAGGGGACTATAGGAGATGGGATGAAGTCATGGAGGGTAGGGCATGGATACAGGGTGAGGTAGAGGAGTGGGAGCAGATTCTTGGGAGACTGGGTAAAATTGTAGGGGCCAGGGTTATAGGTGGCATGTTCCTAGAGGCAACAGTGGGAACCTGAGTTGTGGGTGGACACAAAGTGGAGCTGTAGGTAGCCAAACCCAAAAGGAATTGCCTATCCCACACAAGCCTTTTCAGGGCTTGACTTTGCAGGGGCTATGTAGCTGTGCAAGAGGAGGATATGCCCTGCCCTCAGCTACAAAGAAGCCCCAGGGAGCCTCCATTTAGGTCCCTGGGCTGAATGTAAAGGACCTAGGATCTCAGTAGCATTCAACTTGCCCATCAGCTCTGATCCTTTCTGAGGGCTCTGTACCTGTCCTTGTCCTGCAGGATGACAGTCATGCTAGTGGGTTGATAACCACAGGCTGATTCCAGGGCTCTGCAGACAGCCATGGGTGCAGCATTCAGGTGGTTTTTAAATGGTACAGTCTGGTACAGGGCTTAGGCATCAACATTTATACCCCAACACTCTTGAGGCCTCTACTTCACCTCCAGTCCCAGGAGGCTGTGGTTTGTTTAATCTTTCCTCAGCTGAAGAGAGGAAGGTGGGAATCAGGACACCCTATTGTCTACCTCCCCAGCCTGATTGCTCTAAACAGGAGGACAGGACATCAAGATGGGCAGTGTCTGTGGGATGCTCACTAGGATTCAAGTGAGTTCCCAGGAAGATCTAAAGTTGGGGCAACAATAAGTACAGATTGACTTGCAAAATGATTCCATGGGTGTCTCCATGGAGGACTGTCCATACTGCCCTCTTTCAGCTAAGTGGCCAGACTGTTTCTCCAGATCTCACTTGGCCACTCTTTAGTCACGTTCTGCTGCCCTATGACTTACCTTTCAACAAAACTGAACCTTTTTCTCTGCACTGGGACATTGGCTATAACCAAGCATGCCCAGTAGAGCTCATGAATATAAGCCATCAGTCTAGTTTTATAGTCATCCACCTCTCCTCCACTGGTATTTCCTGGTATCCAGATCCTAGGGCTAGGATCCTGCAATGACCCAGGCTTCCCCTTATCATTCACACACACACACACACACACACACACACACACACACACACACACACACAATAATCATTTTAAGCCTGGCTCTGCTAAAGGTCTGTGTACTTAGGCCCTCTCTGGCACAACCCCACCTTGTACTTTTCCACACTGACTCCTACCCCATGGAGCAGAACCAAAATGTCCTATGAGACCATTAGAAATCTTAATCATAGATTATGTAAATGCACACTGATGTCCAGAAAGCTGTTTCCTTTGTGCACATCACACTCTGGGTCCACAGCTCTTCTATGTAAGAAGACTGTGTAATCAAGGAAGGTCCTACACCCTCTCCATGTCTCAGCTTCCTCAACTGTGAAAAGAAACAAAAGGCCCCACTGGGCAGACCACATGTACACCAAGGAATGGAGGCACAAAGAACTTCAGGGCTATTCCTCGTTCTTGCAGATTGCCCTACCACTGCCTTTTTGGTCTCTTGTTTGCCTGTCTGATGGACACAGACCAAGGTATTCTTTTTTTTTTTTTTTTTTTTTTTTTTTTTTTCTAAAAAGGGTTTTTTTTTTTTGGTTTTTCAAGACAGGGTTTCTCTGTGTGGCTTTGGAGCCTATCCTGGCACTTGCTCTGGAGACCAGGCTGGCCTCAAACCCACAGAGACCCGCCTGCCTCTGCCTCCCGAGTGCTGGGATTAAAGGCGTGCGCCACCAACTCCCGGCTGGAGCAAGGTATTCTTGAGGCTCTTTGGCTCCACATCCTATTATGAGGCAAGGAGCCTGGGGGGGCATTGCCTATTTCTGTTCAGGACTAGAATCATTGAAGAGCCGGGCGTTGGTGGCGCACTCCTTTAATCCCAGCACTCGGGAGGCAGAGGCAGGTGGATATCTGTGAGTTCAAGACCAGCCTGGTCTACAAAGAGCTAGTTCCAGGACAGGCTCCAAAGCCTCCAAAGTTCCAGGACAGAGAAACCCTGGCTCGAAAAACCAAAAAAAAAAAAAAAAATTATTGAAGAGCAGACACCCAGGCTTATGTAGGTACTGGGGTCAGCCTAGTTAGTTCAACAGACAAGTCTGGGGCAGTTTGTGGAGTTGTCCCCTACCCCCACCCCACCCTGCCCATCCCCCCAGGGGCAGCAGGAAATGGCCTGGTCTAGTTTGTGGCCAGGGCAGCAAGACTGGCTTCCTCTAAGTCCTGTTTCCTTTATCCTGTTGTTTTGCTCTGAATCCACCAAACTCAGCCTTCCCCTCCTCTCCATTTCCACCCTCTCCTCCGGTCCAGATTGGGCAGGACGGATGCATGACGTTTTAAAACCCCTAACCAGGTTGTGGGGTGGGGGTAAGGGGGCTTCCCTGCCTTGGACACTACTTGAGGACAGGTCCAACATCCCACCAACGCCCCCTGCTGTATGAGGCTGGGAGCTACAACTATTACCACTGCTCAGGTAGAAATCCCCAAGAAGCAGATCCCTGTGTGGTCCAAGGGCCCATAACCAGTCAGGAAAAAGTAGAAGAATCAGGTCACATCACTAGTTCCATTTATTGGGGCCTCACTGAGTGTGTGGAAGAGTGGCCATGAAGGAGGGTGCTCTCTTCTCCACAGCCTGGGCCTTCGAGTGCAGGCAATCTGAGCTGAGTTTGTTTCCAGTCTTCTGTGAGGTGTGGGAGTAAGAACAAGGGCAGTGCTAGAATTCACTGGTGGCCATGGCACTCAGCGCAAAGAGCTTCTTCCAGCAGGTGGCGACAGCGTATAGGGCACGTAGCAGGAGCCGCCTCCGGCTGGGACGCTGCTGTACTGGACGCTTCTTGGGCTGCAGGATCTGCTAGTGGGGACCAGCTGTGAGTGAGTGCATACAGATGCTGCACCCTCATCCTTATCTCACAGCTCATGCTTAGCCCTGAGGAAAGTGGGTTGCAGCCAGCCCAATACTTGAGTCCATAGCCTCAGGCCATTGGTACTGCCGTCCTTAGGGGAAGGTCAATTGAGGATACATACCCTATTGGATATTCGGCAGTGTCTGTGCATCACTGCCTTGGTGCGCACCGCCACTGTCCATGCTGCTTTCTCTAATGCATTGTGGGGAACTCCACCCATGCTCCCAAGAAGGGTCTGACCCAGGGATTCGATAGACAGTAGGATGCTATGCTCCTGAGATGGAAAGGGACAAAAGCCAGGGCAGGGGGTGGAGGTGGGGCCTGAGGAGGGAACAGATAGATGTAGGTGTGGGTACCCCCCCATACCTTTTGGGCATCACAGGAGGCCCCTGGCTGTCCCTGACCTCCACCAGCTCCAGTCAGGTTTTTCTGAAAGAAGTGGTGGTGTCGGGACCCAGGCTCTGTATGCTGGGCTCCCAGCCCAGCCCATTGCATGGCAACCTGCAAGTCCTGGAAGATGACAGCTTGGTAGTGGCGGAGTACCTCCTGGACACTGCAGGACTGGGACCCAGCCCAGCCTAGAGCAGACTCAAGAAATGCCAGCAGCAGTGGTAGTACATAGACAGTGGGCTTGAGGGGCACCTGGAGAGGACACCAGGTTGGGGTTGAGAACCTAAGCCTTCCAGCACAAGGTATGGCCCCATAGACAGCTGGAGTCACCACAGTGGATGCCCCCTCATCTTTGCGATGGTAGGATTGAAAATCTCATCAGACTCTGGCTATGGCTTATGACATTTGTGGGCTGTGTAGTGGGGCATCGGGAAGTACTTTCACTGAGCCCAGGAAGGAGACAGAGAACAGGTGCCGTCGACAAGGGGTGGTACTATGGCCTACATTGGAGAGGCAGGAAAGTTAGCACCTAGAATACCATGGATGTGCAAGGGCTCACCAGCCTTGTACAGGGAGTGGGATGGGGAGGAGAATAGCAAGAAGTGACCCCCCAGTACAGCCTCACCCCTGAACATGCTCAGACCCATACCAACTGGTCATAGTCCCACCCCCACCCCCTAACATTGGATGTTCGCCCTCTCTCAAATACATCTCATGCCCTTTGGGTGAGCAAGATGGGATAGAACCACCTTGCTCTCATGCAGTATGGGAACTCCAATCTCTCCCTCAAGAGCTCTGCTACAGCCAGTTAACCCCCAAAAGAAACAAAAAACAACTAGGGCAGAAGCAATGGCTCAGAGCTCCGAGACTCCCAATGGAAGAGGAAGGCTGGAGGGAAGGACTAGAGACAGCAAAAGAAGCAAAGCCCCAAGCAAAGAGGCCAACAAGCTTCCTCCCACCCCAAATGGAAAGGACCGGTGCTGGGGGAAAGCTCACACAATAGGGAGCCAGCTGAAGGTCCTCAGGACCCCAGCTCCTCCAAATGGAGCAGTTTCCAAACCTGCCTTAGGCCTCCAGCTTACTTGGCCTGGAAAATTAATCTTGTGAACCCAGCGAAACGACAAGACTCCGCTTCCCAGCCCTGGCAGAAAAGCTGAACTGAGCATACCACAAACTCCCACATAGAGGTGGGTGGGGGTAGGGGCTCCTGCCTGGGATACCAGTACCAACTGAAGAACAACGTAATAGCACCCTCTTGAAAGTCATTTGGAACCATGGCCAGTGGAGGGGTGCTGAGAACAGCCCATCACACCAATTAAGAACGAGAGCCAATTGAGCCATCGAGACTTCTAGAACACCTGGCAGCAACATGGGACAAGCTGGCTGCCCAGGGAGTCCCTACAACTCAGGCTTAACCCAGTATGAGAGGATTCTGGGAAGGCCAGGGCAAAAGCACCAACAATGGTTATTTTACTGGGTACCATCATAAACATCTGGGGGTTTCTATGAGGTACAGGGAAACAGCCTCCCCTGGGTTGTGCCCATGCCCAGACCCTTGGCCCAGGCCAGCCCTTTCCCCCAGGCCCCAACTGCTTACCATAGGCCTCTTAGGGTCTGGCCTTCCCTTATTCCCTCTAGCAAGCCACACACATGATCCTGGGGTCCTCAGGTCTTTGGATTGCCAATGAAGTAGGCAACTGGCAGCCACACCAGGTCTTGTATCGGCTGATGAGGCCTTCCTGGTGAGAGCTGGGGGGCAGGTGAAGAGGTGTTTGAAGTTGGCTCTTCCAGCAAAGAAGGGAGGGAGCAACAAGGGAGGGAAGGAAAGTCCAGTAAGCCAGCCCTGCCCTTAACCCCTCCCCACCCTCTATCCAGTCACTTCAATTAACCTGACTCTGGAGCATAGCAGCTGCCTGTTGCAGCAGATCTGGGGCTGCTCTGGGTCTTGGAATGAGTCTCCAGCCCCATGGAGACCCCAGCTCTGTCTCAATGGATAGAGAGCAATAGTCTCTCCTGATAGGTGGGCCTGCCACCAGTCCCCAATCCATATCCAGACAAACTTGTCCCAGCAGGTCTAGAAATTGGGACTTCCCAGACTTCTACTGCTGGCCCCACTTCATCCCTCCAAACCTTGGGGTCATCTAGGAGTAAGAGGACCACTCCCAGGGTTACTGTTTTGCTCTAGCACAGAAGCAGCCTCTGAAACACATTCAATCTGATGAACAAAGCTCAACTTCCTGCTGAAGAAAAGCAATGGTATGAGCTGGTGAGACGGCACAGCAGGTTAAGGCTTACTGCCAAGCCTTGACAACCTGAGTTTGGTCCCAGGGGACAACATACTAAAAGAAAAGATTCCTGTAAGTTATCCTCTGACCCCCACAAGTATGCTGTGGCATACATGCACCTCAATAAATAAATGTGATACACAAGGAGTTGTTGACCATCTCAGCAGCAACAACAACAACAAAACCCTCCATTCCCACAGAAAGGAAAAATAACCTGGTAACATTACAGACTCACCAGACCTTTCCACAGCCCTATAGGAAACCTTATCCAAGTACCCTCTTCTGTAACTGCTCTACTGCATTCAGTTTGAGAGTCGGGAATAGTCAAAAGGAACAGAAACCATCAACAGCCTGATACTGCAGTTAAGTCCTTTCCCTTCCCATCTGTAAAGGAATCACTGAGCTGGGCAATGGTGGCACACACCTTTAATCCCAGCACTTGGGAGGGAGAGGCAGTGGATCTCTCAGAGTTCAAGGCCAGCCCGGTCTACAGAATATGTGTCAGGATGGCCACTGAGTACGATTCCTCATCATAGGGAACCCTGTGGATCTTTCTATGGAAATATCCAAGGAGCTCTCCTTCCTAGATACACCTCAGGACAGGAGCAGAAAGTACTTCCCCAAGCCAGCACCTAACTGACCTGTCTAGCATCAACCAACCAACAAGTCCAGATGCCTACAGAACAATGAAGGCTTCTTTGACAGCTTGATCCCCATGTGACCTTCAGCCTCTTGTATCACAGACCAATGACAGAGCCCCCATTCTATATATAGCCTGTACTTCCAAGACCTTCTCCATAAAATCTCAGCAAGTCCTTGGTATCCCAACTATGTTTTTTTCCTGGAGCACCAAGCACTTGCAGGTGCTACAACTAAACCAGACTGGCCATGACCACCACTCAAGGGAATAGGAGCCAAAGACAAGACAGAAAAAAAACAAGACACCCTAGCCCCAACATAACTCTATAAAAATCTTTAATGGATAAAAGATATACAGTGTAGGCTTTGTGTTCACTGTCCATGTGTTGCCCTTTGCAAAGTGCTCTGTCTTCCACCCCAGCTATCAGAAGGTATTTTTAATATGGGCGGCTACCAGCACTAGTATTTCCCCAATCTTCCTCTGCCAGTTGGTGATATCCTTGGACACAGCACACCATAGCTCTCCATGCCGGGGCTCTGCATTCTCACAGCGCTTCCTCACCTCTTCCTGTTGCTCCTGGGGAGACCAAAGGGTTCTTTAGGTAGGGTTTCTTGATAGGTACACACTGAGCCTTGCCTGTCCCCTTGCAGATCTGGTCCCATCAGAGTTCATGTTCTCCCTCCTCTTGGGCAACATGGCGTCTATGTCAGTGCATCTCTGTGTTAAATTATGTCAGACTCCCTAACCTCTGGTTCACACAAGTTGCCAGGTGCACTCTGAACTAGGGCACTTCCTGGATTCAACAAGGTCTGACTACTACTTCCAATGAGAATCCCAGGATACCCTGGCCACTCTTGCCTTATGAGCATGCTCCAATAAACCTCAAGTGGGGATGGACTAGACAGAGCTTTCTATTGTCTCAGAAGTGGCTAGGGGAACAGGCAGGATATTACTGCACACTGGTATTCTAGTGCAACCTCACCTCAGTGCCATGTTGCAGTTCAAATTTGTAGAAGAAGGCCCAGGCATCCCCCAGATCTGAGTCAATTTTCACAGTGCGATGGAACCACTCCCGTGCCTTGGTGATCTTTCGTTCACTCCAGAACAGCCTGTTATGGAACAAGTACTTAGAGCAAGGGGCAGTGCCTGCTGGGCTTGGGAGTCACTCTTCCGTGTGGGTCATCAGCTGTATCTTGCTCCTGGTGAGACCAGCAGGCCAAGGCACATGTTACAGAATGCCTGAGTCATGGTCCAGGGCAACCTGGAGGTCACTCCAGATCCTTCACTGAGCCTAACTGCTTTTTGGTTTTGAGAGACAGGGTTTCTCTATGTAACAATCCTGGCTCTCCTGGAACTCACTTTGCAGACCACAGAGATCTACCTGCCTCTGCCTCCTGAGTGCCAGGATTAAAGGTGTGCACCACCACTGGCCAGCACCCCCCCCCATCCCCCACTGCTTTTTATACATTTATACACAGTAAAGATCTTAACTTTTTTTTCTTTTCTTTCGAGACAGGGTTTCCCTGTGTAGCTTTGGAGCATATCCTGGAACCATCTCTGGTAGACCAGGATAGTCTCGAACTCACAGAGATCCACCTGCCTCTGCCTCCCAAGTGCTGGGATTAAAGGCATGTGCCACCACCACCTTGCAAGATCTTAACTTCTTAAAACTATTTTTTTTTTTCTGGGTTAAATACAACATGAAACTAACCTTGACAAACATTACAGCTGATTATAAAAACCTGAAATTTTAGACTGTTGATCAGTAACTTACCAACCCTGGACTATCCTGATTTGTTCAGCATCTTGTAGCAACATATGCAAACACTAGGGACCTGTGCCCACTGTAGCTGCAGTTCATAGCACACATGACTGTTGTACCCAACACTCACACTTGAAAAGCAGGCTGAAGAGGAGCCTTTCAGGAAGCCAAGAAACCGGACTGTTAGAAACCAACTTAGAAGTGGGGTATGGAGGCATATGACTTTAATCTCAGTACTTGGAAGGCAGAGGCAGGCACATCTCTGAGCTCAAGGCCAGCCTGGTCTATAGAGAGAGTTCTAGGACAACCAGGGCTACAAAGAAAAACCCTATCTCAAAGAACAGAAAGAAGGAAAGGAGGGAGAGAGGGGAGGGAAAAAGGGAGGGAGGGAAGAGAAGGAGAGAGGGAAAGAGGGAGGGAGGGAGGGAAGGAAGGAAGCCAAGTTAGGGTCCCCATGGGGACCCTCCCCAACTGGTAGGTAGTGTAGGATAGCAGGATGAACAATGAGAAAGATAGCATAGCATGCTGTGGGAAACACTTTGGCAGGCTCAGGACTTGAGCTGTACTAACCCTCCCTCCCTTAGTGAGGCAGCTGGTGCACAGCTAACCTTTCTACTGCAGGCAGCTGTTTGGGTTACTCTCAGGTACCAAATGGAGTATATTTTCATGCTGATAACTTGATTGTTTTTTAAGCCATGTAGTGCTCTTAATTGCTTGGTGTTAGATAAACTGTGATTTGAAGAGCATAAACTCAAGATAGTAGGCACATGGATCATCAGCTTGGGAACAGCAAGGAGCGACTTATTTACTTTATCAAAGCCTTCTGTGAAGTTTATGGCTGCTCTGTCTGAGGGCATATAGATGTTACTCTGGGAAAAGGAAGCCCAGGCTAGGAAGGCTGGGCCTAAAGCTTCCCTCATCTGCTAGGGCCACAGATACTACAAATGTGCACAGGTAGCAATGTGAAGGCAAGTGCACCAGACATGAGTACTTAATGCCACCCAAACAGAACCAAACTGGTTCTAAGGCTCTGCCTCTATCCCCACCACCAGAGGCATAACCTTGTGCTGGGAGATGATGGGAGACCACTTGATGACACTGAAGATGATCCACGGTTAATCACTTCTGTACTCTAAGACAATGGATTACAGTCAGGGTTATTCCCAGGACCAGCTGAGTTCTGCTAACACAGTGAAAGTACAAACTTGACTGAAGCCCCTTCAAAGGGGCTTAATACTTAAATTCTGGGTGGATCAATATCAACAAATCTGTCCATCATGTAATCCAGGTCCCATTTGGTACTGAAACAAAGAGAACAGCCCCATCAGATGCCTGGGGCTAAGGAAAAGCCAAAAAGCCCAGGAGGCCTGAAAAGATGAGGTAGCCAGACAGATTTCTAGACAGTATCTCAAGGTCTCTACCAAAAGAATGCTGTCCAGAAGACTGAAGCAGGAGTTCTGGCAAGCGGCCCATCCTGCAGACAAAGTCAGCATCATCCGGCAAAGATGCTGGCAAAACTACACCAAGACCCCAAGGATAAGCAAAACCCCCAAACTACTCACTACTCACTTAGCCACTGCTAAAAGCACATGGGGGTCATGTTCACATTTCTTCAGAGCATCCACACTCTTGGTCTTTCTCTGGGGCCTTGCCTCAAGGAAGACAGCTTCAGACCACAGGATACCTGAAATTCAGAAGCAAAAATCTGCCCTTCAACCTTACTTCTGGCTTCAGAAATGCACTCTCTTCCTCAGGCTGCCCCAAAAGGAGTATACTGACACCAATCACAAGGGCCTGAAGTATCCACCTACCCAGTAACCTGCTGAATTACAGCAGCCTTGCCCAGAACAGACTGGACAGTGTTCTAGATGATAGCTGCAAATTTTCATTCTTACCGAGTCAGCAAGCAGGCAATGGGCAATGGTAATCTGAAAGCACTATCTCATATTGCTATTAAAAATAGACAATAGTTTCCAGGATAGAGGGGCTACACAAAGAATCTCTGCCTCAAAAAACAGAAAATAAACAAACATTCAAAAAATCATAACCAGGTATGTGACACATGCCTGTAATCCCAGCACTTGAGAAGGCAACAGCTGAGGCAGGATGATCATGGCTTAGAAGCCAACCTAAGCTACAAAGTAAGAGTCTAGCATAAAACAAACAAACAAACAAACAAACAAAAACCTCACCTACCACTACTAGCACCACAACAAAAAAACCTTAGCTAGGCTTGGTATTTTAATACTTGGAAAGTGGAATAAGAAGAGTAGGGAATTCGAGGCCAGCCTTTACTACATAGTGAGTCTGAGACCCACCAAAATATCAAACATCTAGTGTAACTTTAATTCAACTCTGTACAATAACTCAGAAATAATACAAACAATAAGAGAAGAGATTCTTGAGTAACAGGGTAGAGGGAATCTCTATATCCACCTTTCAAACTCCAAATTTTTTCAAGTGACAAATACATTTATTTTTTGTTGTTGTTGTCTTTTCTTTCTTTTTTTTCCAAGATAGGGTTTCTTTGAGTATACTTGGTTGTCCTGGAACTTACTCTGTAGACCAGGTTGATCTGAAACTCAGAGATCCACTTGCCTTTGTCTCCCAACTGCTGGGATTATAGGCACACACCACCACCACCCAGCTACACTTCTTATATACCACATGTAAGTAAAATAATAAGTTAAGTCTTGGCCAGAAAAGAAAAGAAAAAAAAAATGATAGTACTTCAGAACATGAAATCAAACTCTCCCATATTGAGACTGAGGATTTAGTCTGGACCTTTGTAACCAAATCTGTGATGCTACACTAAAATGGGACACACAAAGTGCATCTTAGAGGGGTCATTGGGAGTCAATCTCATCCCACAAATCTCCTCTGTGCTATACCAGAGAGCCAGAAGCCCTTACCAGAATTGGGGCACTCCTGCAGTGCCTTGGCCATGAGTGTGTTGGCAATGTTCTTCAGCCCTGCACGGTACTCCAGTCGCACTGACTCCAACCTAGGAAGACAGGCCCAGGGATGTCCCAGCCCCATCTATTATAGCATGATCAGCTACTCCAGCTGGCCTTCTGCCAGAGACCCTTTTAAAAGGCTTTTAAATTTTTTACTTTATAATTGTTGTCATGCATGTGTACATGTGCCACCACACATATGTGGAAATCAGAGGGTCACTTTTGGAAACAGTTCCCACCACTGCTCCCAAGATTGCCAGGCTTGCTCAGCAAGCAATCTTTCCACTCAACTTCTTGCCAGCAAAGGAAGGCTCTTGTCTCTTGGAAGGTGGCTGGAATTCCATACTCTACAGATATTGCCGCACTGGTATCCACAGCCTGGTACCAAGGCAGCAGCCCCATCTGAGATCCCAGGCCCCATAGAATCCAGATGTAAGTGAAGATATCAGAATAAGCCCACACCACACTGGATCATCACATGAGAGGCACCTAAGGATTACCCTTTCTCAGCAGTGCTCTCTCTTATTCCAGCCTAACTCCTAGCTGGACTCTGCATCCATTACCTGTAACATGGCGAAGCTGGCATAACTCACTGCCCTCCTGTTTTGACCTCCCACTTACTAGGATTACAGGTGCACACCACCATACTCTGCTCCCTCTGGCAAGTTTCTTCATGTTCCAGAAGGTCTTGCCTATGTTACTTCTATAGTCCACTTTCTTAGTTCCATTCACTGGCATCTTACAGCCCTTCCCTTCACCAGAAGCCCACTCACCATCTAGACCCAGATCTTCCAAGGCAGGGACTGTGATTCCTCATAGAAGCTGCCACTTATTATTGTGCCCCAGGAGCCTGGGCTGAAGTAAGAAGGAGCTGAGTGAGGTCAGCCTCCAAAGCGGGAGATGAGCCAATTACCAAGGACTCACCATAGCCCAGGATTCTTCGGGTTTTTTAGACGAGACTTTTCCAAAATGGCCCGAGCACGAGTCAGCTGCCCAATCTTTTCTTCAAGCCGGGAGAGTAAGAGCCACAGTGGTGTGGAGTGAGGACATTTCTTCAGCTGTGACCAAAAAAAAAAAAAAAAAAACAGAGTAAAATAAGAGCTCAGAGAGAATCTAAAGTTGTGTGAAGTGTAATCAGCTTCTAAGAACACTTCAGGCTGTTAGACATGTACTTTGTGCTCTCCATGTGGATTTACAGACATGGCTCTGTGGTGTGCTCATGTAAACAGGTGTGTGTAGCTGTGTTGTATACATGTACACAAAGGATGTCTGCAGGACAAGTGCAATCAGCATGTGCACTTCAATGTATACAGCCATGCTACATACACAAGCATACATTGAGTATACATTATGCTACTTCTGATGTACCAAACCCCATATATCCTAAACACAGAGTGTGCAACTTTGTAGAAAGGAAAACAGTATCCATAACAAAAGGAAGCATAAAAATTCAGTCTCAAGCACAAAGCTCTATCACAGACCACTGGCCCTCCACTTCTTTCAAAAGCATGGGAAATTGACCAATGTCATGCTATTCCTTGAGACATCTTTCCCCCTCCACCCCACTAAGACAGGGTTTCTCTGTGTAGCTCCAGCTGCACTGCAACTCACTTTGTAGAGCAGGCTGGACTAGAACTCACAGAGATGTGCCTGCCTCTGCCTCCTGAGTGCTGGGATTAAAGGTGTGCTCTACCATCTCCTGGCCCCTAAGACATCTTAATAGAGGCTCACCCCTTGATTATAGGCCTCTCGGGCCTTCTCCATCAGTTCCCCCTGCTCCTCAATCTGCCCCTTCATCATCCACAGCTTGGGGAAGTCTTCATAGTGCCTCAGAGCCTCCTCACATAACTCCTGGGCAGCAGTGATGTTCCCCAACACCCACTCCAGCTTCACAGATTTCATGAATACCTGTAAAGCAGACAAGCACCATCACACCAGAGTTGTTACTTCTACCATCTATCTGGATGCTAACTACCTTCATATCACACACATGACATCATAGACATCGTTCACACACATCTGTCCTGTACCTCATAAGTTGTTGTATGTAGCTCTTTTGTATATACAAGAGGTATAGATAAATAAAGGAATGCCTTTTTTTTTTTTTTTTTTTTTTTTTTTTTTGGTTTTTCAAGACAGTTTCTCTGTGTTGCCCTGTATACCAGGCTGGACTTGAACTCACAGAGATTCACCTGCCCCTGCCTCCCAAGTGCTGGAATTTAAGGTATAAGCCACCACCGCCCAGCTAAAGAAATGCATTTTAAAGCCCAATAACACGATTGGGCTGTGGCATGAGCTGTCCTACTCATCTCACTCCTTCCCAATGCCATGTATGAGCCAAGAGGCACTCTGCCAATACTGCCCCACCCACCAGCCACCACTCACACGGGCAGTGGGTGCGCTGCTCCGTGCCTTGGCCAGCAGCCTCCGGGCTCGCTCGTATTCATTGTTCTCGGACTCCAGCTTTACAGCCGCCAGCCAAATCTCTTCACTGTTGGGGTTGGCCTGGAGAATAAGCACAGCTGCATCAAAAAGGCTCAAAACAAAAGTGACCAGGGCTAGACCACACTTAATTAAGAACAGGCAGTCTGAGAAGTGAACTGAACCTCACTCTGATACAGGACTAGTATGCTTCTGCACAAGCTAGGAAATGTAGATCTCAGCTTGGGGGGGAAACACACACACACACACACACACACACACACACACACACACACACTCTCTCTCTCTCTCTCTCTCTCTCTCTCTCTTTTACTCTTGTACAGAGATGAAGCAACAATACTAGTATTGTAGAGCCACCCTCTCTAGGATGCATCTAAATTCTGCACGGCCTTTCAAAACTATGATTGGCTCACTCACATCTTTGCATCAGAATCTGCTACATCTAACTTCATCCCTTCCCCTCAGGTAGCCCATGTGGTCAGGGTAGATCAAGGTGAGATAATGAAGTGTAAAGGGTTCCCACAGGCATGGACCAAGCTATACAAACTTAAGAGTCCAGGGGACATAAAAGTAGTGCCTCATAATGTGTACCTACCCTCCTTAAAGACTTCTGCAACATGGCCATGGTGTCTATGGTTATGGTAAAAGTGAACCACCTTAAAATTCTAGCACACAACTTGAGGAGAAAACTGTATGTAGAAAGGACATCACTTATCTGGCACAGCACTATCACCTATTCCTATAGTCTCTTCGGATAACAGCTGTACTGACGCAAGTTAGCTCTTCTGGTGCTTATTTACAACAGACAAACTTTACTGTTGCCCTGGGCTATGATACTAGACTGGTTCAATTCCCAGCAACCACATGGTGGCTGACAACCATCCCTTATGAGATCTGGTGCCCTCTTCTGATGTGCAGATATACATGGAATCGGAATGTTGTATATATAATAAATAAATAAAATCTTTTAAAAAAAGACACAGACACAGGAGGATAGCACATGCTTCTAAAAAAATATTAGGATCATTTTTTGTTGTAAAAAAATTTAAATGTTACATGTAGGTTAAGGAGATGGCTTAGTGTGTAAAGTGCTTACTGGACACCCACATAAAAGCCAGGCATGGCAATGCACATCTGTAACCCCAGTACTAGAGGGTGTAGTCAGATGAATTCTAAAGACTAATTGGTAACCAGGTGAACCAAAGCTGTAAGCTCCAGGTTCATTGAAAGATCTTGTCCCCAAAACAACAACAACAACAACAAAAAACAAACCCAAAAAAACAAAAACAAAAAAACCCCTCAGGGTGTGTTAGGCAGCCCTGCACTCAGGAGGCAGAGGCAGAGGCAGAGGGAGTTCGAGATCAGACAGTTTACAGAATGAGATACAGATAGCCAAGACACAGAAAAGCCCTGTCTAGGAGGAAAAAAAAAAAAAGTAGACAGTGATATAGGAAGACACTCTAGGTTGACCTCTAGCTTATACACACACACATTGTATGTATTGTAACAGCTAGGCCTCATTAGGCCAGTAAGTCTATCTGTTTTAGTAACATTGTATGTATTGTAACAGCTAAGCCTCATTAGGCCAGTAAGTGTATCTGTTTTAGTAACATTGCATGTATTGTAACAGCTAGGCCTCAGCAGGCCAGTAAGTATATCTGTTTTAGTAACATTGTATGTATCGTAACAGCTAGGCCTCATTAGGCCAGTAAGTATATCTGTTTTAGTAGGACAGCACTCTCACAAAGGCATTAAGCACCCAGGCAGCTTACATTGTGGTCTTGTACTCTGGAGTACCTGGCCTATAGTCATATGAAATAGAAGGGAACTGAGGCCAGTGTGGCTGGTTGCAATGTTCCTCATGCTTAGGCCTCATAGACAAGGCCACCCACACAATCCAGTGTCTCTAGACTAGATCATGACATATCCCAAAGAATATGCACAAGGTAAGCTCTAAGGCCACAGTAGCACTAACACTGAGTTTGTGTTCATGGCCCCTTCCAATACAGGCATCCTTTACCTACCTGGAAGGCCAGGGCCAAGATGCTCCTTGCTGCAGGCACATCCCCTGCCAGCCACTTGGATTTGGCACCCATGAGCCACAGCACCTCTGCCTTGGGGCAGTGGGCCACAGCCCTCTGCAGGAGTGCTTCCAGAGACTCCCTGCAAGAGAAAGGCCATAGTCACTAGGGTCAGGGCCATAAATCAGAGCACACAGCCATCTAGATGCTGAAAAGACAGCTACCACTCCAAAGTTCGGTACTATTAATGATTTACGAGATTTTACGATGGGGAGAGTGTAGGGAAATCTTTCTTTCCCATAAAGAATCTAAAATCAACTACTGAAGAGGACTCTATAAAGCAAAGCATTGTTTAAACAGCAAAGCCTTTTACAGCCATGTATCCTGGGGGCAGTGATAACATGGCAGTCTGGTGACAATGAAGGCCCTTTTATCTTGAAGCACAGAGGACACCCTGGATTCATTGATAAAGATTAAGGTCCCTGGCACCCATAACCCCCTCCCCCAAACAAAACAAAAAGGTCTTATTGAGAGTGATTTTAGAACACTACTGAATAAGAAGTCTTGTCAGCCTTGGATACGGGGTATGACATCTCTGGATTATATATGGTCCACCACCTCTTGGTCACACCACCTTTACTTTACTGATGACCCCTATGGGCCTCATGTGTTCAGCTGCAAGTAAAAGAACACACAAAACCATATCACACAGAAAGTGCCTACAGAAGCAACACCATGTTCCCCAGAGCCCTGGGCCCAAGTACTGATGACTTTCCTCATCAGTCTATAAGCTAGCAGCAAAGAAAAAAATAGGTTAGTAGGAGGAAACTAACCATTGAAACACTTGGTGGATAACAGTATACATTTAAGCCATGAGTCATGAAGTCTCAACCCCAACCCACACCTGACATGACAGGGTCCCATACAAGTCAGCACTTAAGACTGTACCAAGTGACATTATACAAGGTGAGTCACTGGGATCATTTTAGAAAGTCCTTAAGTTCCCTAATGAGTTAATTCTGAAATACCAAGCCAGCTGGCAGGGTAGAAAGAGGCCCTGTAGAAACTAACATTAACTAATAACAGAAAAGAAACAAGGGCTCAAAGTCCCAGATGCAATGTTGGTGAAACCAGCAAGGTCTGTGCCCACCCAACATAGGGAAGAGCTGAGGACCCAAAAGAGAATGACACAGGGTGCTCAGGAACATGAGTCCTGTACCCCAGGGAATGACACATTTAAAACAAGAAACTACAATGCCTAATTTAATCAGCATTTACAGCCAATAAGGCCGACCCAAAGGTTTTTCCAATTAAAGAATACAATTAAAGAAAATTGTCAGGGACCTCCTTCTGTGTACAAAAACCAGCCAAACCCCAGAAAGCCAGTGCAGCTAAAATGAAAAACAGACTGCATGGGCCCTGACACTGTACCGCCCACTGCTGAAGAGAGTGCCCAAGCACTAACAGCCTGCATTGGACACTCTCAGACCCATAAGGCACGAGTAAAGGGCTCCTTGATGCCTTGGTTTCTCAACTATAAACTCATGATAATTCAATCAAAGAAGGGCTATAAAGAATAAGGCAGTTTCAGAGTCCCAAGTGCCACAAAAGTGCCTATTCTCATTGTAACCTGCTCATGATCACAGAGGGACAGATCCAAAACAGTGTCACTTGCAGATCTTCATGAAAGTGAGGTTTGAATCCAGTATTATGCAGACAGGAAGTGGAAAGTGCCCCCATACCTGGTACCATGGTTCTTCTCAAAGTATGCAGCTCGCAACCACACACTCTTCTTGCTGGGGAAGACTTGTAGGGCATAGGCATAGATGGCTCGTGCACACTCCAAAGCATTGTGGGCCACACACTAGAGCAGAGAGACACTATGAGGAAGGTAGTTTAGGACTGCATGGGGCAGACGATAATACTTTTTCAAGCCTCTTGTACTTCTAAGTAGTGACATCTGGTAACAAATGTGCTGTGGTACATTAATTAAACTACAATCTTAAGACAAGGTCACCTGAGGATGGGGACACAAATGCTAAAAAAAAAGTTCAGAAGGCACCCTTCTGGCCCCCTGACTTGCAAGAAGACATACTAAGAGGAGTAGCAGCTTTTTACCTGCGAGATAACAAATGCAGCTGAGTGGTAGTGGTACACGCCTTTATTCCCAGCACTTGGGAGGCACAGGTAGGTAGATCTCTGTGAGTTCGAGGCCAGCCTGGTCTACAATGTGAGTTCTAGGACAGCCAGGACTGTTATACAGAGAAACCCTGTCTCAAAAACAAACAAACAAAAAACAGAAAACAAAAGATAACAAATGCACATAAATATGCATATGTGTAAGGTTATAGCTAAGGCAAGTGTGTGTGTGTGTGTGTGTGTGTGTGTGTGTGTGTGTGTGTGTGTGTGTGTGTGTGTGTGCACTCACACACCTGTGTACCATCACACACTGCCTTGAACTCAGAGATCTACTTGCCTCTGCCTCCCAAGTGCTGGGATTAAAGGAGTGAGCCACCACCGCCCGGTTTATATGCTGCTTTTTAATTAATACTATGTATTTTCCATTAAAAAGGTTAAGCCATGGCGGTTAAGAGAGGACCTGGGTTCAACTCCCGGCACCAACATGGCAGCTTACAACTGTCTGTAATTCCAGTTCCAGAGGATCTGGCATCTTCACACACGTCAAGCAAAACACCAAAAGCACAAAAAAAAAAAAAAAAAAAAAAAAAAAGATTAAGCCATTCAAAACCTGTACAAGACAATCCAACACAAAGAGAATGAGAAGCCCACCAATCTAGTAGAATCACAGCAGACACCATTAGGCTTTGCTTCCTTTCCCCACCCCCACCCCATCCTCTAATACCAGCAAGCCAAGGCCATTGTTTTGTAATGATAAACAAGCATTCTACCATTGAGCTACCTTCTTCACCTTTTTCTATTTGTTATTTTGCAATGGTCTCACTCAATTCCCAGGCTGGCCTTGAATCTGCAATCTTATCTTAGATTTCTGAATAGCCGAGGTTACAGGTCTGTACATACCATCAGGCCTAGATCCTCTAGTTTTGTTTTTTGTTTGTTTTTTGTTTTTTTATAGTCAAGTGATTTTAGGGGTTGGAGAGATGACTCAGTGGTTAAGAGCACTTGCTGTTCTTCCAGTGGATCCAAGTTTGGATCCCAGCACTCAAATCAGATAATTAATTCACATATAACTCCAGTTCCAGGGGATATGACACCCTCTTCTGGCCTTTGCAGACACATGGCATATGTACACACACATACACACATGCATATTCACATGCACAAAAGTAAAAATAAAGTCTTAAAAGAAACCCTAACACTCATATATATAAAGTGATAGGTAGGGACTGGAGAAATGGCTCAGCAGTTAGAGCACTAGTTGCTCTTCCAGAAGACCCAAGAGTTTGACTGCCAGCACCCACATGGATCCAGCACTCACTTCTGGCTTTCTTGAGCACTGAATGCACACGGTGCACAGACATACACATAATACCTATACACACAAAACAAATAGAAAGAAAAAGTGATAGGTAATGAACCAGCAAGATGGCTTAGTAGGTTAAGACACTTAGCAACAAGCCTGACAAGCTGAGTTCAATTTCTAGGACTCACATAGTAGAAAGAACCAAGTCCCATACAAGCAATCTTCTGACCTTTGCATACATGCTGTAGCATGTATACACACACCCACTCAAAAAAAATTTTTTTTTAGTCATACGTAATACCAAATAACAAAGCTAGTCACCAAATGCAATGATAACTCTGATGAGAGGTAGTTTAACTGATCTTCATGGTGACCATGAGACCCAACTGTTATGGTGGAAGTTCCACCTAAGCTCCGCCCTCCCCTATCTCCCTCCAAACCCTGCTGCATCTCAGAAGCCCCCCAAATGATGACCCCTCCCCAAGAGATGCTCAAGACCACTTCTACAGGGTATTTAAACTGCCTCCCAGAAACTAGACGGGTTTTCTGGTCTCTCTTTCCCGGCTCCTCTCTGGGGGGCTAGAAGGCCATCCAGGAGCATTGTATCCATTAAACATGGGCTTTTTCTAATTCAGTTTGATTTCGATTGCTATATCAGTGGAGAGACTTATCAGGGTGCAGAAACTTTTCACCAATAACAAACTAGACAGGTTCACACACTTTTTTTTAGGTTCATAGAAGACTAAGGTCTCCCTCCCTGGGAGAAATCACTTCCTTCTCAGGAGGCAGAGGCAAGCAGATCTCTCTCTCTCAGTTTGAGGTCAGCCTGATCTACAAAGCTAATTCCAGGATAGCCAGGGCTACACAGAGAAACCCTGTCTTCAAAAAACAAACAAAAAAATAAACAATAACAAAGGGGTATGAATCTGGGGGCAAGTTAATGTAATGGCCACTAGGGACAAATAGCAAAAAACTATTACAACTGTAAATGGCAAAACTGCCTGTGTGGAGCTGGGTTGTGGTGGCACACACCTTTAATCCCAGTACTTGGGAGGCTGAGGCAGGAGGATCTCTGTGAGTTTGAGGCCAGCCTAGTCTACAGTGAGTTCTAGGCCAGACAGTCCTAAAAGTAAAATTCTTAAAAAAAAAAAAAAAAAAAAGCCCCAGGTGGAGCTGTAGTCACAGCTACATACATACAAACTTACACAGGGAAGTTACCTGGTCATCCAAAATTCCTCAGATGGTCAGATATCTTCATAGAGCGAGATGCCAAAGAGCCTATAAGTGTCCAAGACCCACAATGTATGTAGAAACAGGTGGGGAAGGAACGGAGGTATGCCAAGATTTTGATCAGACCCAATCCTTCCTATATCACATGGCCTGACTCTGACTCAACCACCAGAGAAATCAAGAAGGGCCTTTTCCTAAGTGTTATAACCTGACCAGGAGTATTCAGAGGGGCCAGACTCTACACTGGGCAAACCCTGGTCTATACTCTTCTGTGTGGCTGCTAACCAAAGCAATGAGATCAACTGCAAAGATTTTAAGAACTCTACTGCTTTAACTGCCTAAGCATCAAGTAACAGTGCCCTGGGCCCGTGGTAGGAAGGAGCACTAGGAGAGTACCCCACGTTTCTAAGCATACTAGAAACATTACTTCTCATTCCTGCATGAAAAAGAAAAACAGCTATGGTTACTGAGTAAAAGTGGTTAAGTGACAATAAAAAATGAGAAAAGCTGGGCACGACGGTACATGCCTGAAATCCCAGTACTCCAGAGAGAGGTAAGAGGATTCTGAGTCCAGCCCAACCTAGGCTACATCAAAACAAAACAAAACAAAAGAAAGGAAGAATGAATAAGCTAAAATCATTCTTGGACTTCTCATATTTTTGTTATCTTCAGAGTGTTGTCTAATAAAGGCTCCAAATTTATTAAAAGCAATAAAGGAAAGAGATACAGAACATGCCATTCTGTGTTTAGAATAAAGAAGTTATCACAACCAAGTGCTAGGTTCTTTTAGATACAAAGGAATTTTCACTCAACACAAAGAACATTTAGTATTTAGTGTTCTCTCTATATGTATATATTTATATATGCATTCTAGTACTGCAAGTTGGAGCTAATGCTTTATGTATGCTAGGCATATGCTCCACTACTGAACAATACTTCCAGCCTCAGGCCCAATATGATGAAACAAACCCCTTTGACCTACCTCTTGACTCAAAGAGTAAAGTGTGTATTAGCATATATAAGGCCATTCCATAGGCTGTAAAGCCAGTACCTGAGTTCTGTGTCACAATGTGTACACCATTTTCAAGAGATTCACACAGAGACAGCATAACTAAAAGATGAATCATTGGTCTACCAGATGAAGAGGAACAGGAATGCCCTTCATTATTATCATTTCACAAAATGCTTTTGATTTTTTTGTTTTGTTTTGTTTTTCAAGACAGGGTTTCCTCTGTGTAGCTTTGGAGGCCGTCCTGGAACTCTGTAGACCAGGCTGGCCTCTAACTCACAGAGATCTGCTTGCCTCTGCCTCCCCGCTGCTGGTATTAAAGGTGTACGTCACCAACAATCTCACAATTTTCTTTAAAGGGCTGGGGATATAGATCCATGGTACAGCTCTCCCCTAACATGCATTAGGTTCTGGGTTTAATCCTTAGTACCAAAAATAATACACAAACTAAAAACATCTGAGCTGAACAGGAGGCTGAGGTAAGAGAATCACAAGTTTGAGACCAGCCTAGGCTACACAGCAAGATTTTTCTCAGAAAACCAAAAGCAAAGACTGGGGATGTAGCCCCATTGGTAGACTGCTTCATGGCTGTCATTTACAAGGTCTTGGGTTCAATCTCTAGCACCACATAACCCAGGCATATTGGCTCACACCTATAATTCTAGTATTTGGGAGGTGAAGGTAAGAAAATCATCCTCAACTACCCAAGAAGTATAAGGCCAGACTTGTCTATAAGAGATGCTATCCAAAATAAATAAATAAATAAATAAATAAATAAAAGCAGGGGCTGAAGAAGAGGCTGAAGAAATGGCTCAGCAGTTAAAGCACTGGCTGCCTTTCCAGAGGACTCAGCACAATCTTCTGTAACTCCAGTTCCAGGAGATTTGATGCCCTCTTGTGGCCTCTTGTGAGCACCAGACACACACGTGGTACACATGAAGCCAAACCATTCATATACATAAAATAAATAATAATGTTTTAAAAAGCCAAAAACCAAATCAAAACAGAAAACCAGCACTTGGCATATACCATAGAAACAACCATTTCAATGAAAGCATTGTTCATTACTTTGGCTTGGAGTCTCTTGTCTATAAACTTTGCACTTGGGAGACTGAAGAAGGATTGCTGTCAGTTTGAGGTCAGCCTGTGCTATATAGTGGACTGTTTAAAACAAAAAAGAAACAAACAAATAACAAGAACAATAAAACCAACCATTATTAACAGATCCTCAGGGCTGGAGAGATGGCTCAGATTAGGTTAAGAGCACCGACTCTTCTTCCAGAGGTCCTGAGTTCAATTCCCAGCAACCACATGGTGGCCCACAACCACCCATTACGAGATCTGGTGCCCTCTTCTGATGTGCAGATATACATGGAAGCAGAATGTTGTATATATAATAAATAAATAAAATCTTAAAAAACAAAACAAAACAGATCCTCAAACTAGTAAGTTGATGCTTGGAGGATACCAACATAATTTTAAAATGCTTCTTCAAAAATGCTTGCTATTAATCATAAAGGAAACAACTGAAAGAATACAAGAAAGTCTGGACAGCTGGTCAGAGTGAACAAGTATCTGTACCTCCGTAGCACATCACGATCAGAATATATAAATTTGTTTATGAAGGAAGACCTGACATCTTACACTGCCAAGGACAAACCTCAACCAACTCACAAGCAAATATAACATATAGCCAGGTCAAAATGTATTCTGTAAAACTGCTGGCCTCCAGTACTCAAAAATTCAGATTTAGGGAAGAGATGTAGCTTAATGGTAGAGCACTTGCCCAACATGCCCAGGCCCCTGGTTCCACCCTAGCACCATATAACCAACCAACCCCAACCAAATAAATAATAAAAAGGAAATTCATGAAATAAAGACATACTGAAGCCCTGTTAAGGTACTTTCTCAGGTTGTCCTAAGGCTATGATCCTGCAAGCATCTAAAGAGAATATAGTTTTGTTCTCATTGTTACTGTTTAATTTTACTAATAGGACACTAAGGGCCAACTCAGAGGGTAAGAGCATCTACTGCCAGGGCCTAATGACCTGAGTGAGTTTGATTCCCAGGACCTACAGGATGGAAGAAGAGAATTGACTTCCCACGGGTGGTTCTGTGGTCTCTACTTTAGGGATGAATATGCTCACACACATACACAAAATAAATTTTTAAAAAATTAAAAAAAAAATTTTGAGACAGGGTTTCTCTGTGTAGCCTTGGCTGTCCTGAACTCACTCTTTAGAACAGGCTGACCTTGAATTCACAGAGATCCACCTGCTTGTGCCTCCTGAGTGCTGGGATTAAAGGTGTGGCCCTGTTTTAGTATTTTTTTAAATAATTTAACTTTTTTTTTTTTTATGTGCACTGGTGTGAAGGTGTCAGGTCCACTGAAACCAGAGTTACAAACAGTTTTAAAACTGGGTGGGTGCTAGGGTTTGAACCCAGGTCCTCTAGAAGAACAGTCAATGCTCTTACTGCTGAGCCATCTCTCCAGCCCCCATTTTAGTATCTTAAACATGTTGATCAATCTAACGTCTTGTTTTCCCTTTGGGAAACTATTCTGAGGAAACAGTGTCAAAGAGGCAGCAACTCTATACAAAATGTTCCTGAAATGAAACCAGTAATGGGAACCAGGAACTGGGAGAAAACCTGGTGCCACAGAGGTTCTCTGCCACCCATCTAAAACATTGTAATACAAGTAAGTACACATAGCTGCCAACAGGCACACCTTTGTAATAGCTACTTTCTCCATCTAGTAAGCACTCAAAAGCTTAAACGCGGGTTTGTAGAAATCTGCTACCCTTATGACTGCAACTCCATCTAAAATAAGTGTATTAGAGCTAGATGTAATGCATGCTCCCGTAATCCCAGAAATGACGAGGCTAAGGCAAGAAGATCTCCAGTCTAAGGTCATCCTGGGCTCCAGTCTCAAAAAAAGACAAAAAATACAAATAAAATCAAGCACATCAGAAAGATTTTTAAGGAGACAAAAGGGGGGGTGGTATGGAAAGCAACCTACTCATTTTAGGGACCACCATTCCTAGCAAGGCTACAGACTGGGTGGAAAGCAGGTAAGCTTACACTGTCAGCATCTTCCATCCAGGTGTGTTTGCGATCTTCCTCCTCAATCCCAATACCGATTACGGCACGCATGACTGCCTGGCAAGTGGCCACACTTCCTGCCCTGTCACACTCTTCAGCATCCTGAAAGAGAAGCACAGAAATTTTGTTTGGTTTTTTTAGTTAGAGCTGTCAAGTGACCGCCATTCCTGGATGGTAATTAATAATTATGTACCTACTGTCTTGGGCATATAACCTAGCAACCTGTCATGTTGTTTTGTTCATTAATACTTCTGTCCTAATTACCCTGCATTTATGTACTCAATAAACACTGTGTGGCTGAATGAAACCACATTTATTCATACAGTACATTTTAAACGAGATCTTGCTGCATACAGAAGTTCTATTAAGCTCTTACACTAAAGAACATCTAAAAACTACAGTTTTGCAACATTCTTGGGTATCTGAAACTATTTTTACTTCAAAATAAAAAGCCAAGTATGGTGATACACAGTATGGTGGTAACACCAGCTACTTGTAAGGCACCAGCATAAAGACCATAGTTCAAAGCTAGCCTGAAATACTAAGTAAGACCTTGTCTCAAAATTAATGAAAAGGGGGATGGAGATTATATAATACTCCAGTGATACAGCACTTGCCTAGAATACTCAAGGCTCTGGGTTCAATCCCTGAAACCATGGGAAAAATCAATTTAAGGGGGAGGAGGCTGGTGAGACAGTAAAGGCATTTGCTGTGAAACCCTGATAACCTGAATTTACTCGATAGGAGGAGAGATCTAACTCCAAATGATTGTCTCCTGATTCTACACTTACACTGTAGCATGTGCACCTACACACACTAAAAATAAGGCTGTAGCAAGGCACAGTGGCACACGCCTTACATTAAAGAAACTGAAAGGAGTGGAAGTAAAAGACAAGTTCAAAGTATTTGTACTGTTAGGAATAGAACTCACAAATTAGCAAAAAGAGGAATGTTCTAACCTAGACAAGAAGTGTTGGTGGGGACCCTAGCTGCAAGGGAGATTAGATGAAAAGGGGGGGGGGTGCATCACAGCAGATGACCAATCACAGGAGCAGTCCACCGAGCAGGCCAACATGTAGCAAGGTACTTCCAATTTTAGGAAAGCAGATTTGGAACATGTAAAGAGAGCCATATCTGTAAACAATTTTCTTTTCAGAAAAAAAAAAAAGTTCTACATTATGAGCACAGGAATGTGTTACTAAAAGTTGGGGATAGGCTGGGCGGTAATGGTGTATGCCCTAGAACTCTAGGAGGCTAAAGTCCTAGAATTCTGGAGGCAGAGGCAGGTGAATCTCTTAAGTTTGAGGCCAGACTGGGCTACAAAGGGAATTCCAGGACAGCCAGAGCTGCACAAAAACTCCTGTTTTGAAGAAAGAAAAAAACAAAACAAACAAACAAACAAACAAAAAACCCAACAACAAAAACCCAATCAACCAAAACAAAACAAAGACAAACGAAGTTGGAGATAATAAAAGTACCCTGTGCGGGCTGGAGAGATGGCTCAGAGGTTAAGAGCGCTGACTGCTCTTCCAGAGGTCCCGAGTTCAATTCCCAGCAACCACATGGTGGCTCACAACCATCCATTATGAAACTTGGTGCCCTCTTCTGATGTACAGAATGTTGTATACATAATAAATAAACAAAATCTTTAAAAAAAAAAAAAGTACCCTGTACATTAATTAGGAATCAAACAACTGACCCAACAGACAAATGTTGCAAAGGGCATTTGCAAGTTTACCAGAAAACAAAATACAACAAACTTAAATATCTTAAAAGAAACTCTAGGCTATTCTTGTCTGTAAGATGCTAAACTGTTTTCAGCAAGCAGGCTGATTAACTTGGTCTTTAAAGAGAGGCATGGATTTTACAAAGGTGAGGACTATGCACTGACCTCTACAGAAGGCAACTTTATTTCCTCCATCAAAACAATGTATGCACCAGCAATTCCACCTTATGGAATTCATCTTACAATAATATTCCCATGGATGCAAAACTATATGTACCAGGATACTTTTGAAGCAAATGGAAAAGCTACTGATAAGCCATCCACAGCAACATGTGCAAGAGCACACATACCAATGAGATGGCCAAGGAACACTGCAGGCTCTGACCCAGTGGGGAACAAGATAAGAAATGAGCAAGCAAGAAAAGATAAGAACGTTATCCCTACCTGAAGCACTCAGGACCCTGTGGCATCAGAAAAGCATCTGGGATCAGAACCAAGTGCAGAGATCTTAAATGAAGACATATTAGTATGCATACTAGAAAGGGCAGCAGTAAGCAATGTAACAATGGGATGATCATCCCAAACTCACAGGGCCTGTAATCCACAGTAAGGGCACAGGCATCTAATCTACAAAGCAAGAAGGCTCTGGGAATTCTAAGTGGGCATACTGAGATTAAAGGTGGTGCTATGTGCTGGGGAAGGACAGATAATCTATCTAAGACAGTAATGTAAGTCACTCAGTTTACAGAAACGTAGACCCAGACTATGTGTGCATGGGGTATGAAAGGAGTCAGCAACACCTCCTGAGGAATGAACTAGGTGTTACCCAAAAGCTGGACTGAGGAACCTGTCAGTTTTGTGGTTGTTTGGAATCACTAGGTAGTAGTGCCATCACATGTGCCAGGAAGAGAGGAGCACATATGCCCTCAGGGCTGTGGAAAAGTCCAAGGCTCCTGATACCTAAACAACATTCCAATTAATGGGTAATCACAAAAATCTAGGAAAAGGGTTAAGGACAAAACTGTCAGCATTTATTTAGAAAAGAAAACCAGGGGCTAAAGTGATGGTTTAATGGTTAAAAACACTTGCTAACTCTTCCAGAGGATCCAGGTTCAATTCCCAGCACCCAGATGGTGGCTCTTTTTGTTGTTGTTTTGCTTTTGGTTTTTGAGACCAGGTTTCTTTGTAGACCAGGCTGGCACCAAACTCACAGAGATTCCCCTGCCTCTGTCTTCCAAGTGCTGGGATTAAAGGCATGTGCCTCCACACGGTGGCTCTTAACTGTGTAACTCCAGTCCCAGAAGATCCAATGCCCTCTTCTGGCCTCAATGTCAGTACTTGTTATACATACATGCAGATAAAACATACACACATAAATAAAAATAATATGTAGAAAAAGAAAACCAGCAAAGGGGGTGGAGGAGAGGGAAGCAAAATAAGCAAAACCAAAGAGTATAGGACATCCCTAGACTTGATGAGTCAAAGGTCCTAAGGGACATTTCTAAGGATTTTGGTACTGTGTTGGGATCAAAACCTCATTTGAGTGGATTCTAAAAATAACAGTGAGAAGATGGAAAAGATAAGTGATGGGGAATGTCCTTCTGTATGCTGTGAATATATATTTCTCTTATTGGTTGCTGAATAAATGCTGACTGGCAGTAGCCAGGCAGGAAGTGTAGACAGGGCTACCAGACTAGGAATGCTGGGAAGAGGAACACAGAGAGTGAGTCTCGGGGAGATGCCATGTAGCCACCAAAGGAGTAACATTCTGGAGCATTACAGGTAAGCCACAGCCTCACAGCGATACAAAGTTTAATAGAAATGGGTTAATAATTAAGAGTTAGCCAATAAGAAGTCTGAGCAAGGGGGCTGGAGAGATAGCTCAGAGGTTAAGAGCACTGATTGCTCTTCCAGGTCCTGATTTCAATTCCCAGCAACCACATGGCGGCTCACAACCATCCGTTATGAGATCTGTTGTCCTCTTCTGGTGTGCAGATATACATGGAAGCAGAATGTTGCATACATAATAAATAAATACATAAATACATAAATAAATAAATAAATAAATAAAATCTTTTTTAAAAAAATGCTTTAAGGGCCGGGTGGTGGTGGCACATGCCTTTAATCCCAACACTGGGGAGGCAGAAGCAGGCGGATCTCTGTGAGTTCAAGGCCAACGTGGTCTACAGAGTGTGTTCCAGGAGAGAAACCCTGTCTCAAAAAAAAAAAAAAAAAAAAAAAAAAAGTCTGAGCCATCTGCCAAATAGTTTATAATTATATAAGCCTCAGTATATTTAGCTGGGACTGAAGGTGGGTGTACTGGGCAGACAGAAACTGTCTTCAAATAAGGATTGAAAGTGTTAACATATACAAGTTCTTAAGAGATAGTTTGTAACACAGTAGGATCTCAATGAATGGTGACTATTACTCAAGATTCAGCATACTTGGATGTACAAATAACATGAAAATGATTTGAATACCAAACTGACATATATTCAGCTCCTCTGTCATATTCTAGTAAAAGGAAGTAGAAGACAGACTGAGGAAAGCATAAAATAGCTTAAAATAACATAATCTAAGCTCATGTCAAATTTCTCTACACTTTAGCAATAGCCTCAACTTGTCTTCCTAATGGTGTCTATATGAAGGTAGATTGAGCCAGGTATGGTGGCACACACTTTTAATTCAAGCACTCTAAAGGCAGAGGCAGTAGGATTTTTGTAGAAAAAACTGGCACTGCTAACTAGACCTTTTCCTCAAACATCTAGGTACCTTTTACACAATATAAATATAAGAACTTGGTACTGTAACAACATGAAGACTACATAGGAAAATCTAAAGATGCCACTTGATACTCTAGATTACTGTGGGAGGCAAGGCACCAATGGGTAGTAGAGATGCCAAGGAGACCAATCAGACAAGGACATTAAAAGATTATAACTATAGTCAAAGACTGAGAAGTAAGTCAGTAGCAGAGAATTGCATGGATGCACAAAGGACTAAGTATAATAGAAGATGCAGCACAGAAACAGAACTCCAGATGCATCTTGTGTGGAGTCCCTAAGAGTCTTCACTGAAGCCAATGAGAACAATCAGCTGGAGTAACCCTATATGCAATTAGTTAAGAAATAAAAACAGACAGCCTGGAATCCTCGAATAGTTGAAAGCAATAGGATAAAAGGCACAGAGGAATTCTGCCCAGTGGAACAATCAGCAGAACATTGCTTGGGACCTAGGTGAGGTGGTGCATGCCTTTAGCAAAGCAGAGGCAGGTGACTCTCTGTGAATTTGAGGTCAGCTTGGTCTATATAACAAGTTCCAGGACAGCCAGAGTGACCCTGCTTCAAAACAAAACCAAAGAATATTGCTTGGGTCT